GCCGTGGGCAGGGACCCCTCCCACCAGACCAGGCTGCCCCACGCCACGTCCAGCCAGGCCTTGAACACCTCCAGGGATGGGACCTCAACAACCTCTCTGGGCAACCTGTGCCAGTGCCTTACAACCCTTAAAGTGAAAAACTTCTTCCTAATGTTTAATCGAAACCTGCCCTCTTCCAGTTTAAAGCCATTCTTCCTTGTCCTGTCACTACATGCCCTAGTAAAAAGTCCTTCCCCAGCTCTCCTGTAGGCCCCCTTTAGGTACTGGAAGGCCGCAATAAGATCTCCCCGGAGCCTTCTCTTCTCCAGGCTGAACAGCCCCAGGTCTCTCAGCCTCTCCTCATAGGAGAGGTGCTCCAGCCCTCGGATCAGCCCTCCAGCCCTTGTCCCCCTGCAGTGTGTCACCATTGGCCTGCCTTATGGAAGGATGCCTTGTTGTCCTCTCCTGAGGCAATGGTGGACTGGGGGAAAGAGAAGAGCCCAGTTTAACTGGATGGATGATACAAATCTACTCAACAGTCCTAGCTTGGTTTTAATAAAGCTTTTCTAAAAATGAGGCATCTTGAGACACTGTTTATAGGACTGAAGTAGACTTGACTCTCCTTGTTTTGCCGCCATTACGGTTTTGATAAAGAAGAGCAGCTGGCAGTTGCAGTAGTCAACAGATAACGCTGCTGGTAGGCACACCGGGAAGCCGTCCCGCTCGCCTGGCCAGGAGCTTTGCCCCACAATAGCTTCCTTGAAATCAAGACTTTGCGTACAGTAGTAAGAATTTATAAGATACAAACCAAGTCTAGTTACACAAATGCATATCTGTATTTTTCCTTGATTCGTTTCAAGGTGTATTCACCTTCCACAGAAGTCCCAAAACTAAACTTTCAAAATAATAGGCATTAAAAATCATCTTGTACCATTCATAGTTCAGAGGCAGTTCTGTATTTTCTAACAGGAGTGCTGAACAGGACTTCTGGAAAGGCGGGTGATGGAGATGTCCTCCACAGTTGCTTGATCAGAGCACCAAATGTGGGCCAACACACCCTAGCCCTGCTGCTGCTGCTACAAATGCGCTTCAGCTCTGTTCGTGGTGTCTGGGAGGAGCTTGGGATCATCAGTAAGGCATCTGCACAGGACAACAAAATCTTTTGTTACAGCTGTCATACTGGCTGACAGTACTTCAGGTCTTACATTCAATTTTCAGTTCAACTTGATAAACAGAGAAGCAAGTTTCTCCGCTCCTGAATGGCAAAGTTGAAGCTCAAAGCGTGCAGCACACCATTACCGTGGGAAAATCTTTAGTGTACTAATTCCTAAGCAGTACAGATCATCTGCTGGGCTGACGACATTGCTGAAGTTCTACCAGGATCCTTCTAAACCACTATTGATCAAAAAAGATCCACCTACTCAGAGTAATTTTTTTAAAATGTACTGTACTGTTACTTTAAAACCCTCACTCATTAACTACTTGCATTTAGTAGTGACTTTTGTCTGAAACTTACACTTGAACCAAGGTGGGGGAAATAAAAAAAGACAGGAAGTGCACATTACTGGACAGATAGCTAAATAATCCAGAGATGTCGATTCTCCAAAAGAAGTTGGAAGACTGAGATATGCAGACTGATACAGCTGATGCGAACAGTAACACAGGTAACTTAAATTCTCAAATCAACTCTAAAAACCATAGAATTTTCACTTGCTAGCAGGAAGGCTGAACTGACAAACAGAAGCAGCAAATTATGATGTCTCTTGTGAAAATTTATAGCATTAATTAACATTTTTCTGCTAAGTTAAAGCAAATAGTATGCAGTGATAAGACCTGCTAAGAATGCCACAGATGAAGGGTCCCAAGTCTTCAGTGCAAACCCGTGAGATTCTAGCTGGCACAAATGCAGAGAGCAGCTGCACTCAAGGGTGTGCTAAAGGCCTCAAAAATCTTAAGAAACAAGCAAACCAACACACACCCACCGCCCTGACATTGGTTAAATGACGGCAGACAAGTCTCTGGCAGAACTTTTGGAAGCCCAACTCAGATGTGAATGCCTAAGATTAGTAATACAAGCTATCACAAATTAAAGAGGCATCAAAAAAGAAAATAAATGAATGGTCTGGAAATTAAGGAATTTTGAGGAAAAATACCAGTAAAGTTTTTAAACTATGCTGAATATTTGAGTTGGAATGAGGGATTCTCTCTGGGGATTCAAAAGTGGGAGAGAAACAATGCTGAGTGTGTCCTGCACTAAATTACCTGTAACTACATCAGGCACAGCAGTATGTTGGCTGTTTGTCGTCACACAGTTGAGGTTCATTTGTTCTAACTAATGCCATATCTGTGACATTAAAAGCTTTCACTTGCAAATTAAGCTGAGTAAAGTAAATAGGATCTTCACAGAAAGTAATTTCCTCAAAAAGTACCAGGAAAAAAACTGAAACTGCTTTATCCTATGAATAACGCTTTTGATTTATGAACAGGCGATAGTGTTGATAATTGAGCTTTCAATTAAAAATATGACAGCAAAATACTTAGAGTTAAATATTTTATTTTATAATAAGCCTTACACCAGGATCACTAAACATTTTGTGTATCACCCAAATAAGTTACATTCATTCTGAGCTTTCATGCAGTTTTACAAAAGTTAAATTTCTCAAAAAATAATTTTCAAGTGTGCTGTAATAAACTCTGCATAAGCAAGCCAGAATTCTTTCACATCAAGTAAATATTCCAGTTTTCCCTCCTGTTTTGACAGTACAGACCAATTACAAAAGCCCCTCCAAATTCACACTAATTAAATGGGAGACTCACTGAAATTGCTGAGACTTTCTGAATACCTTGAATTAACAGCAGTAACGCTTCAAAGTACGAGTGACACCACTGAGCTGAGTTGCATGAAGTGACATTTTGGTGGAGGAAAATGCTAAAGTATCTTAAATGAAAACCTTGTTGCACAGGGACAGGCCACCACCGACCACCAGCATGCAGAACACAAAGAAGAGGCAGCAAACCTCACGTTCACGAGCTTAACCACAGCTTTTAAGGGGACACAGCATTTATGCAGTCTTCTACTATTTCAAAAAGGTAGTGGTATATATCAGTCCTCCTCGCGATGTCGAGGGCCGTTTCATCCAAGTTGTTTTTCAGGTCCGGTTTCACGTAGCGATTCATCAGCAAGAGTTCCAGCGTTTCTCTGCTGTTTTTGTTTCCTGCAGCAATGTGCAAAGGTGTCAGCAAACCATTCGTCTGCGCGTTGATGTCTGCGCCCTGCTGCAGTAAGAACGCCGCCACTTTTGTATTGTTCCACTTACAGGCGCTGTGCAGAGGCGTCCAGCCGTCCACTGTCTGCGCGTGAACGTCTGCCCCTTGGGCCACCAATTCGTGTGCAATGTCCAAGTGCCCACTGTAGGCAGCTCGGTGGAGAGGAGTGTACTGGTCTTCATCACGAGCATTAACGGGAGCCAGCTTGTTGGAAAGGAGCCTCTTCACTGTACTCAGCTATTTAAAGGAAAACAGGTCATTTAATACAAAACTCCGCAAACACGATGCATGGCTTTTACTGGTCCACAGTTTTATGAGAAAACAATTTCTGTCAGTCTCAAAAAGGCTTAAGCATAACAAGAAATTTTAAAATAAAACCAGTTATTGTTACTTTCTTACTGGGGTGGGGTGGTTTTTTTTCTGTTTTCGCTTGTGGGGCTTTTGGGGGTTTGTTTTGGTTGGGTTTTTTTGTTGGTTTGTTTGGTATTTTTTATTTTTTTTAAGAGATACAACATGAACAGCCTGGTGCAAAAACACACAGCCCTAGTTCCCCCCACTGCGCTTTAAGCATTTATTCACAACACCTTAGGAGTACCTTTACCTTCGACCTTCTCCCCATTCTCTGTGAAGATGCAAGTACCTCCACAGAACTGCAGATGGAGCTTGTGTGTGCATAAGAAAGGCAACTAATGAAAATCAATGTATTTAAGGCTGTAATAAGCTGTGTAACAGGAATCTCAGTCTTCTCCTCCCTCACTGCCAAGAATAAAAAGCTTCCCCACACCCTGTTAAGGAACAGGAAAACAGCCACCCGTTCTCTGCGTATGTAGCTTTTGAGAAAATAAAATTTCAAATACACCCTCTCCACCCCAGTTAAAAGGCTCACTTGCCATGAAGAAAGAGCCTGGCGTGCTTTCAGTTTGTAGGAGTTTAAGGGGGGTGCTGTTATTTTAACTTTGGACTACAATCAAAGCTTTTGTTCTGAAAGCTAATTGATCCAGAAATATTTTAGCGGGGGTGGGGGGGCTACAAAGAGAGGTGTTTTACATACAGTGGCTTGCAAAACTGGAACAAAATAGTCCAGAAAGATGAAGGAAAGCGTAGGTAAGTTTTTGTTTGTAGATGAAACTGTCGATATATGCTCAAAATAACATTCTCTTCAGTGACCCATCCAAACAGAATAAATGCCTTACCCGGTTGTTCTCAGCTGCCCAGAGCAGCAATTTTTCTGGATTTTTTTCCATTTTTTTTTCTTGCATTTCGTACCATTCCTCACTTCTTTCTTGCTCATCATCGTCATCATCGGACTGTCCCGACCAACAGCTCTGACTTCCTACAGGAATCAAATGCCTGTGCGTCTCCAGCAGTTCCAGCTGGTTAAAATTCTCCGTAAAGTCTTCAAACTGCTCACTGTCATCATCTTCCTCATCGACGTGTTTGGCTTTACTCATCTTCAGTCAGCATCTGTAAGTAGCAGATTGTTTATAATAACTTTTACTGTTATTCGTGGCCTAATCGTCAATAAAACCACCTGATTGTTTATAAACAAACGATTTGGAGAAAAGACTGGACTTTAAAGCAGTGTTTCAGCCCACCCTTTCCCCTCACGCCCCAACCGACAGCCAGGGCCAGGGCCAGGGCCAGGGCCAGGGCCAGGGCCAGGGCCAGGGC